ACACTGGGTATCTAGTACTCCCCACAGACACTGTGTATAGAGTACTCCCCACAGACACTGGGTATGTAGTACTCCCCACGGACACTGTGTATATAGTACTCCCTACAGACACTGGGTTTATAGTACTCCCCGCAGAAACTGGGTATATAGTACTCCCCACAGACACTGGGTATATAGTACTCCCCACAGACACTGGGTATATAGTACTCACCACAGACACTGGGTATATAGTACTCCCCACAGACACTGGGTATAGAGTACTCCCCACAGAAACTGGGTATATAGTACTCCCTACAGAAACTAGGTATATAGTGCATGTACTCCCCACAGACACTGGGTATAGAGTACTCCCCACAGACACTGGGTATCTAGTACTCCCCACAGACACTGTGTATAGAGTACTCCCCACAGACACTGGGTATGTAGTACTCCCCACGGACACTGTGTATATAGTACTCCCTACAGACACTGGGTTTATAGTACTCCCCGCAGAAACTGGGTATATAGTACTCCCCACAGACACTGGGTATATAGTACTCCCCACAGACACTGGGTATATAGTACTCACCACAGACACTGGGTATATAGTACTCCCCACAGACACTGGGTATAGAGTACTCCCCACAGAAACTGGGTATATAGTACTCCCTACAGAAACTAGGTATATAGTGCATGTACTCCCCACAGACACTGGGTATAGAGTACTCCCCACAGACACTGGGTATCTAGTACTCCCCACAGACACTGTGTATAGAGTACTCCCCACAGACACTGGGTATGTAGTACTCCCCACGGACACTGTGCATATAGTACTCCCTACAGACACTGGGTTTATAGTACTCTCCGCAGAAACTGGATATATAGTACTCCCCACAGACACTGGGTATATAGTACATATACTCCCCACAGACACTTGGTATGTAGTACTCCCCACAGACACTGGGTATATAGTACTCCCCACAGACACTGGGTATATAGTACTCCCCACAGACACTGGGTATATAGTACTCCCCACAGACACTGGGTATATAGTACTCACCACAGACACTGGGTATATAGTACTCCCCACAGACACTGGGTATGGAGTACTCCCCACAGAAACTGGGTATATAGTACTCCCTACAGAAACTAGGTATATAGTGCATGTACTCCCCACAGACACTGGGTATAGAGTACTCCCCACAGACACTGGGTATATAGTACTCCCCACAGACACTGGGTATATAGTACTCCCCACAGACACTGGGTATGTAGTACTCCCCACGGACACTGGGTATATAGTTCTCCCCACAGACACTGGGTAAATAGTGGGTATATAGTACTTGGTATAGAGTACTCCCCACAGACACTGGGTATGTAGTACTCCCCACAGACACTGGGTATGTAGTACTCCCCACAGACACTGGGTACAAAGTACTCCCCACAGACACTGGGTATGTAGTACTCCCCACAGACACTGGGTATATAGTACTCCCCACAGACACTTGGTACCAAGTACTCCCCACAGACACTGGGTATAGAGTACTCCCCACAGACACTGGGTATATAGTACTCCCCACAGACACTGGGTATCTAGTATTCCCCACAGACACTGTGTATGTAGTACTCCCCACGGACACTGTGTATAGAGTACTCCCCACAGAAACTGGGTATATAGTACTCCCTACAGAAACTAGGTATATAGTGCATGTACTCCCCACAGACACTGGGTATAGAGTACTCCCCACAGACACTGGGTATCTAGTACTCCCCACAGACACTGTGTATAGAGTACTCCCCACAGACACTGGGTATGTAGTACTCCCCACGGACACTGTGCATATAGTACTCCCTACAGACACTGGGTTTACAGTACTCTCCGCAGAAACTGGATATATAGTACTCCCCACAGACACTGGGTATATAGTACATATACTCCCCACAGACACTTGGTATGTAGTACTCCCCACAGACACTGGGTATATAGTACTCCCCACAGACACTGGGTATATAGTACTCCCCACAGACACTGGGTAAATAGTACTCCCCACAAACACTGGGTATAGAGTACTCCCCACAGAAACTGGGTATATAGTACTCCCTACAGACACTGGGTATATAGTACTCCCCACAGACACTGGGTATAGAGTTCTCCCCACAGACACTGGGTATGTAGTACTCCCCACGGACACTGGTTATATAGTTCTCCCCACAGACACTGGGTAAATAGTGGGTATATAGTACTTGGTATAGAGTACTCCCCACAGACACTGGGTATGTAGTACTCCCCACAGACACTGGGTATGTAGTACTCCCCACAGACACTGGGTACAAAGTACTCCCCACAGACACTGGGTATGTAGTACTCCCCACAGACACTGGGTATATAGTACTCCCCACAGACACTTGGTACCAAGTACTCCCCACAGACACTGGGTATAGAGTACTCCCCACAGACACTGGGTATATAGTACTCCCCACAGACACTGGGTATCTAGTATTCCCCACAGACACTGTGTATGTAGTACTCCCCACGGACACTGTGTATAGAGTACTCCCCACAGACACTGGGTATATAGTACTCCCCACAGACAGTGGGTATGTAGTACTCCCCACGGACACTGTGTATATAGTACTCCCTACAGACACTGGGTTTATAGTACTCTCCGCAGAAACTGGGTATATAGTACTCCCCACAGACACTGGGTATATAGTACATATACTCCCCACAGACACTTGGTATGTAGTACTCCCCACAGACACTGGGTATATAGTACTCCCCACAGACACTGGGTATATAGTACTCCCCACAGACACTGGGTAAATAGTACTCCCCACAGACACTGGGTATAGAGTACTCCCCACAGAAACTGGGTATATAGTACTCCCTACAGAAACTAGGTATATAGTGCATGTACTCCCCACAGACACTGGGTATAGAGTACTCCCCACAGACACTGGGTATGTGGTACTCCCCACAGACACTGGGCATATAGTACTCCCTACAGACCCTGGGTATGTAGTACTCTCCACAGACACTTGGTAAATAGTACTCCCCACAGACACTGGGTGCATAGTACTCCCTACAGACACTGGGTATATAGTACTCCCCACAGACACTGGGTATATAGTACTCCCCACAGACACTGGGTATATAGTACTCCCCAAAGACACTCCATATATAGTACTCCCCACAGACACTTGGTACAAAGTACTCCCACAGACACTTGGTACAAAGTACTCCCCACAGACACTGGGTATATAGTACTCCCCACAGACACTGGGTATGTAGTACTCCCCACAGACACTGTGTATATAGCACTCCCCACAGACTCTGGGTATAGAGTACTCCCCACAGACACTGGGTATGTAGTACTCCCCACGGACACTGGGTATATAGTACTCCCCACAGACACTGGGTAAATAGTGGGTATATAGTACTGGGTATAGAGTACTCCCCACAGACACTGGGTATGTAGTACTCCCCACAGACACTGGGTATGTAGTACTCCCCACAGACACTGGGTACAAAGTACTCCCCACAGACACTGGGTATGTAGTACTCCCCACAGACACTGGGTATATAATACTCCCCACAGACACTGTGTATATAGTACACCCCACAGACACTGGGTATAGAGTACTCCCCACAGACACTGGGTACATAGTACTCCCCACAGACACTTGGTACAAAGTACTCCCCACAGACCCAGGGTATAGAGTACTCCCCACAGACACTGGGTATAGAGTACTCCCCACAGACACTGGGTTTATATAGTACTCCCCACAGAAACAGAAAGTGTGGCATAAAGGTCTGAACTGTTTCCATGTTATGATCCAGGATATATCATATTAAAGGTATTATTCTCTTCATAACAAACAAATGTATACAATGGATCTGTTTATTATAGGGTTGGAATAATATCGTTTTGCATGTTATGATCAAGGTTCTAACACCTTTGGGAATGCCGGACAGATGAACAGTAGGGTCAGTCCTGGTGGCATATGTGCATTTCTCTCATTATACTCTTAATTGTACATATGGTTATAGGTTGGGGATCTTAACCGTGTCCAAGTTATAAACTCTTTTTAGCCCCACCCCCTAGTCCCGGGGTTGGGGGTAGGGTTAAACCCCTCCATTTCTCCAATTTTATTTCCCACCAAATATTGTTGATAACTATCTCTTAGTTCCTGAAAGGAGTCATTTAAAGCAATATAGCCAAATTATCCCTATTTGGCCCTGCCCTTCAGCCCCTATTGGGTGGGGGGGGAGCATCCACACTATTTGTACAATTTTGAATCCCCACCACCAAATTTCGTTAATTTCCAATTTGTGGTTCAGAAGTAGACATGGTTTAAATAAATTGTTGACACACAGACAACAGACAGACAACAGACGAAAGACGAACGACAGACGCTAGACGCCACGGTATGGCATAAGTTCACATTGGTCCTTCGGATTCGGTGAGCTATAATTGCAACTTAATATTCATCTACATGCATCAAGTGCATGTAAAAGAATATAAATATGTGTTTTACTTACCTTAATATGTCCACACAACAACAATCTTTGAACCCACTTAATATACAGCTTTTCAATTCAAATAGAGGCAAGCTCCATTCTGCATACAGGCCATCACTCTATGAAGGTTGATACTCCAATGAACACACACAAAGTGAAAGTCAGTTCTTGAGTTGACCTACACAGTTTTATTCAGCCAACAAAGTGTAATGTAAAGGGCATGTAGTGGAGATGTATTTTGTGCAAAAGCCTTGGTTACATTTTTACATATTCATGTTTTCTCTCGAAAGTCTTGACATTTCAAAATATTCATGTTTATCTGCAGAGAATAATGGCTCTACATTCTAAATGCTGTTATGTTGCTTCAAAACCTATGTAACTTATTTGCCTACATTTGATTACCTTTGTATTGACTTATAATGGTATAAAAAAAGGTTTGTAAATATCCCCCAAAATTCTAGTGAGACTTGCAACTCTATTTTATCTATTATTGTTGCAGGGTCGGTGCAATGGGAAAGTGGGCTATTTTCCAGCAACATATGTACAACGTCTCGTGCCTGGGCAGAGGGTCTTCCAAGTGACACACACTATGAACTTAAGTGAAGGAGACAATGGAATGAGACTTCATAAAGACCAGGTGAATGAAAAAAACCCAGAACTAAATAGTTTCAAGGGTCAGAGGTAGAAAGTTTAAAAGAAACGAAATTTAAGATCAGGCGATTGATGCGCACTTGTTGGTGTATGATGTGTTGGGTGGCAGGGTGGTTAGGTGGTTGTCAGGAAGACAAAGGGGACCTACAACTAGGGGATATATGGACAGTTTAGTAGGTCAGACAGGAAGACAAAGGGGACCTACAACTAGGGGATATATGGACAGTTTAGTAGGTCAGACAGGAAGACAGTTGGCAGCTACAACTAGGGGATATATGGACAGTTTAGTAGGTCAGACAGGAAGGCAGTTGGCAGCTACAACTAAGGGATATATGGACAGTTTAGTAGGTCAGACAGGAAGACAGTTGGCAGCTACAACTAGGGGATATATGGACAGTTTAGTAGGTCAGACAGGAAGACAATGGGGACCTACAACTAGGGGATATATGGACAGTTTAGTAGGTCAGACAGGAAGACAGTTGGCAGCTACAACTAGGGGATATATGGACAGTTTAGTAGGTCAGACAGGAAGACAGTTGGCAGCTACAACTAAGGGATATATGGACAGTTTAGTAGGTCAGACAGGAAGACAGTTGGCAGCTACAACTAGGGGATATATGGACAGTTTAGTAGGTCAGACAGGAAGACAGTTGGCAGCTACAACTAGGGGATATATGGACAGTTTAGTAGGTCAGACAGGAAGACAGTTGGCAGCTACAACTAGGGGATATATGGACAGTTTAGTAGGTCAGACAGGAAGACAGTTGGCAGCTACAACTAGGGGATATATGGACAGTTTAGTAGGTCAGACAGGAAGACAGTTGGCAGCTACAACTAGGGGATATATGGACAGTTTAGCAGGTCAGACAGGAAGACAATGGGGTGCTATAACTAGGGGATATATGGACAGTTTAGTAGGTCAGACAAGAAGACAGTTGGCAGCTACAACTAGGGGATATATGGACAGTTTAGTAGGTCAGACAGGAAGACAATGGGGAGTTATAACTAGGGGATATATGGACAGTTTAGGTGATCAGACAGAAAGACCATGGGGTGCTATAACTAGGGGATATATGGGCAGTTAAGGTGGTCAGACAGGAAGACAATGGGGACCTACAACTAGGGGATATATGGACAGTTTAGTAGGTCAGACAGGAAGACAGTTGGCAGCTACAACTAGGGGATATATGGACAGTTTAGTTGGTCAGACAGGAAGACAATGGGGAGTTATAACTAGGGGATATATGGACAGTTTAGGTGATCAGACAGAAAGACCATGGGGTGCTATAACTAGGGGATATATGGGCAGTTAAGGTGGTCAGACAGGAAGACAATGGGGACCTACAACTAGGGGATATATGGACAGTTTAGTAGGTCAGACAGGAAGACAGTTGGCAGCTACAACTAGGGGATATATGGACAGTTTAGTAGGTCAGACAGGAAGACAGTTGGCAGCTACAACTAGGGGATATATGGACAGTTTAGTTGGTCAGACAGGAAGACAATGGGGAGTTATAACTAGGGGATATATGGACAGTTTAGGTGGTCAGACAGGAAGACAAAGGGGACCTACAACTAGGGGATATATGGACAGTTTAGTAGGTCAGACAGGAAGACAATGGGGAGCTACAACTAGGGGATATATGGACAGTTTAGTAGGTCAGACAGGAAGACAGTTGGCAGCTACAACTAGGGGATATATGGACAGTTTAGTAGGTCAGACAGGAAGACAATGGGGAGTTATAACTAGGGGATATATGGACAGTTTAGTAGGTCAGACAGGAAGACAGTTGGCAGCTACAACTAGGGGATATATGGACAGTTTAGTAGGTCAGACAGGAAGACAATGGGGAGTTATAACTAGGGGATATATGGACAGTTTAGGTGATCAGACAGAAAGACCATGGGGTGCTATAACTAGGGGATATATGGGCAGTTAAGGTGGTCAGACAGGAAGACAATGGGGTGCTATAACTAGGGGATATATGGACAGTTTAGTAGGTCAGACAGGAAGACAGTTGGCAGCTACAACTAGGGGATATATGGACAGTTTAGTAGGTCAGACAGGAAGACAATGGGGAGTTATAACTAGGGGATATATGGACAGTTTAGGTGATCAGACAGAAAGACAATGGGGTGCTATAACTAGGGGATATATGGGCAGTTTAGTAGGTCAGACAGGAAGACAGTTGGCAGCTACAACTAGGGGATATATGGACAGTTTAGTAGGTCAGACAGGAAGACAATGGGGAGTTATAACTAGGAGATATATGGACAGTTTAGTAGGTCAGACAGGAAGACAGTTGGCAGCTACAACTAGGGGATATATGGACAGTTTAGTAGGTCAGACAGGAAGACAATGGGGAGTTATAACTAGGGGATATATGGACAGTTTAGGTGATCAGACAGAAAGACCATGGGGTGCTATAACTAGGGGATATATGGGCAGTTAAGGTGGTCAGACAGGAAGACAATGGGGTGCTAAAACTAGGGGATATATGGACAGTTTAGTAGGTCAGACAGGAAGACAGTTGGCAGCTACAACTAGGGGATATATGGACAGTTTAGTAGGTCAGACAGGAAGACAATGGGGAGTTATAACTAGGGATATATGGACAGTTTAGTAGGTCAGACAGGAAGACAGTTGGCAGCTACAACTAGGGGATATATGGACAGTTTAGCAGGTCAGACAGGAAGACAATGGGGTGCTATAACTAGGGGATATATGGACAGTTTAGTAGGTCAGACAGGAAGACAATGGGGTGCTATAACTAGGGGATATATGGACAGTTTAGTAGGTCAGACAAGAAGACAGTTGGCAGCTACAACTAGGGGATATATGGACAGTTTAGTAGGTCAGACAGGAAGACAATGGGGAGTTATAACTAGGGGATATATGGACAGTTTAGGTGATCAGACAGAAAGACCATGGGGTGCTATAACTAGGGGATATATGGGCAGTTAAGGTGGTCAGACAGGAAGACAATGGGGACCTACAACTAGGGGATATATGGACAGTTTAGTAGGTCAGACAGGAAGACAGTTGGCAGCTACAACTAGGGGATATATGGACAGTTTAGCAGGTCAGACAGGAAGACAATGGGGTGCTATAACTAGGGGATATATGGACAGTTTAGCAGGTCAGACAGGAAGACAATGGGGTGCTATAACTAGGGGATATATGGACAGTTTAGTAGGTCAGACAAGAAGACAGTTGGCAGCTACAACTAGGGGATATATGGACAGTTTAGTAGGTCAGACAGGAAGACAATGGGGAGTTATAACTAGGGGATATATGGACAGTTTAGGTGATCAGACAGAAAGACCATGGGGTGCTATAACTAGGGGATATATGGGCAGTTAAGGTGGTCAGACAGGAAGACAATGGGGACCTACAACTAGGGGATATATGGACAGTTTAGTAGGTCAGACAGGAAGACAGTTGGCAGCTACAACTAGGGGATATATGGACAGTTTAGTTGGTCAGACAGGAAGACAATGGGGAGTTATAACTAGGGGATATATGGACAGTTTAGGTGATCAGACAGAAAGACCATGGGGTGCTATAACTAGGGGATATATGGGCAGTTAAGGTGGTCAGACAGGAAGACAATGGGGACCTACAACTAGGGGATATATGGACAGTTTAGTAGGTCAGACAGGAAGACAGTTGGCAGCTACAACTAGGGGATATATGGACAGTTTAGTAGGTCAGACAGGAAGACAGTTGGCAGCTACAACTAGGGGATATATGGACAGTTTAGTTGGTCAGACAGGAAGACAATGGGGAGTTATAACTAGGGGATATATGGACAGTTTAGGTGGTCAGACAGGAAGACAAAGGGGACCTACAACTAGGGGATATATGGACAGTTTAGTAGGTCAGACAGGAAGACAATGGGGACCTACAACTAGGGGATATATGGACAGTTTAGTAGGTCAGACAGGAAGACAGTTGGCAGCTACAACTAGGGGATATATGGACAGTTTAGTAGGTCAGACAGGAAGACAATGGGGAGTTATAACTAGGGGATATATGGACAGTTTAGAAGGTCAGACAGGAAGACAGTTGGCAGCTACAACTAGGGGATATATGGACAGTTTAGTAGGTCAGACAGGAAGACAATGGGGAGTTATAACTAGGGGATATATGGACAGTTTAGGTGATCAGACAGAAAGACCATGGGGTGCTATAACTAGGGGATATATGGGCAGTTAAGGTGGTCAGACAGGAAGACAATGGGGTGCTAAAACTAGGGGATATATGGACAGTTTAGTAGGTCAGACAGGAAGACAGTTGGCAGCTACAACTAGGGGATATATGGACAGTTTAGTAGGTCAGACAGGAAGACAATGGGGAGTTATAACTAGGGGATATATGGACAGTTTAGGTGATCAGACAGAAAGACCATGGGGTGCTATAACTAGGGGATATATGGGCAGTTAAGGTGATCAGACAGGAAGACAATGGGGACCTACAACTAGGGGATATATGGACAGTTTAGTAGGTCAGACAGGAAGACAGTTGGCAGCTACAACTAGGGGATATATGGACAGTTTAGTAGGTCAGACAGGAAGACAATGGGGAGTTATAACTAGGGGATATATGGACAGTTTAGGTGATCAGACAGAAAGACCATGGGGTGCTATAACTAGGGGATATATGGGCAGTTTAGTAGGTCAGACAGGAAGACAATGGGGACCTACAACCAGGGGATATATGGACAGTTTAGTAGGTCAGACAGGAAGACAGTTGGCAGCTACAACTAGGGGATATATGGACAGTTTAGTAGGTCAGACAGGAAGACAGTTGGCAGCTACAACTAGGGGATATATGGACAGTTTAGTTGGTCAGACAGGAAGACAATGGGGAGTTATAACTAGGGGATATATGGACAGTTTAGGTGGTCAGACAGGAAGACAATGGGGAGTTATAACTAGGGGATATATGGACAGTTTAGGTGATCAGACAGAAAGACCATGGGGTGCTATAACTAGGGGATATATGGGCAGTTAAGGTGGTCAGACAGGAAGACAATGGGGACCTACAACTAGGGGATATATGGACAGTTTAGTAGGTCAGACAGGAAGACAGTTGGCAGCTACAACTAGGGGATATATGGACAGTTTAGTAGGTCAGTCAGGAAGACAGTTGGCAGCTACTACTAGGGGATATATGGACAGTTTAGTTGGTCAGACAGGAAGACAATGGGGAGTTATAACTAGGGGATATATGGACAGTTTAGGTGGTCAGACAGGAAGACAAAGGGGACCTACAACTAGGGGATATATGGACAGTTTAGTAGGTCAGACAGGAAGACAATGGGGAGCTACAACTAGGGGATATATGGGCAGTTAGGGGATATATGGACAGTTTAGGTGGTCAGACAAGAAGACTATTGGGAGCTACAACTAGGGGATATATGGGCAGTTAGGGGATATATGGACAGTTTAGGTGATCAGACAGGAAGACCATGGGGAGCTACAACTAGGGGATATATGGGCAGTTAGGGGATATATGGACAGTTTAGGTGATCAGACAGGAAGACAATGGGGAGCTACAACTAGGGGATATATGGGCAGTTAGGGGATATATGGACAGTTTAGTAGGTCAGACAGGAAGACAATGGGGAGTTATAACTAGGGGATATATGGACAGTTTAGGTGATCAGACAGGAAGACCATGGGGAGCTACAACTAGGGGATATATGGACAGTTTAGGTGGTAAGTCAAGAAGACAATGGGGACAAAGGACAAGTAAGGTGGTAAGTCAAGAAGACATGAGGACAAAGGACAAGTAAGGTGGTAAGTCAAGACAATGGGGACAAAGGACAAGTAAGATGGTAAGTCAAGAAGACATGAGGACAAAGGACAAGTTAGGTGGTAAGTCAAGAAGACAATGGGGACAAAGGACAAGTTAGGTGGTAAGTCAAGAAGACATGATGACAAAGGACAAGTATGGTTGTAAGTCAAGACAATGGGGACAAAGGACAAGTTAGGTGGTAAGTCAAGAAGACATGAGGACAATGGACAAGTTAGGTGGTAAGTCAAGAAGGCAATGGGGACAAAGGACAAGTTAGGTGGTAAGTTAAGAAGACATGAGGACAAATGACAAGTTAGGTGGTAAGTCAAGAAGACAATGGGGACAAAGGACAAGTCAGGTGGTAAGTTGAGAAGACATGAGGACAAAGGACAAGTTAGGTGGTAAGTCAAGAAGACGATGGGGACAAAGGACAAGTTAGGTGGTAAGTCAAGAAGACGATGGGGACAAAGGACAAGTTAGGTGGTAAGTCAAGACAATGAGGACAAAGGACAAGTTAGGTGGTAAGTCAAGACAATGGGGACAAAGGACACGTTTGGTGGTAAGTTGAGAAGACATGAGGACAAAGGACAAGTTAGGTGGTAAGTCAAGACAATGAGGACAAAGGACAAGTTAGGTGGTAAGTCAAGACAATGGTGACAAAGGACAAGTTAGGTGGTAAGTTGAGAAGACATGAGGACAACGGACAAGTTAGGTGGTAAGTCAAGAAGACAATGGGGACAAAGGACAAGTAAGGTGGTAAGTCAAGACAATGAGGACAAAGGACAAGTTAGGTAGTAAGTCAAGACAATGGGGACAAAGGACAAGTTAGGTGGTAAGTTGAGAAGACATGAGGACAAAGGACAAGTTAGGTGGTAAGTCAAGAAGACAATGGGGACAAAGGACAAGTTAGGTGGTAAGTTGAGAAGACAATGGGGACAAAGGACAAGTTAGGTGGTAAGTCAAGAAGACATGAGGACAAAGGACAAGTTAGGTGGTAAGTCAAGACAATGGGGACAAAGGACAAGTTAGGTGGCAAGTCAAGAAGACAATGGGGACCAGCAACTAGGGGATATCTGGACAATTAGCAAGATTGTGTATCACCTAAAATTAAAGTTATCAAAATAGATCTCAGCACATCAGATCAAAAAGCTGTTCAACACGACACATCTAGATCGTTCCCAAAAGCAAGCAATTTTTCTCAGAGACAAGGGTGAATAATGTACCTCTTGCCAAAAAGTAACACATGATTACGGATATACAAAGAGGTATTGAGTGATGGTTATGGACTGATAAGAAAATGGAAGGACTATGTGTAACATGACAGTCAACAGAACATGCTGACTGTGTATTGTAAGGCTCCAAACAACAAAGAAAGAAAACAGGCATATGTTGTCGAAACATTAACCATTTGAGATGACTTGATCAGCAATAGGTCATTCTCTATGATCTGTCCAACATTTGTTTTTTGGACATGGTATGGTCCTAATTAATCTCCCAATGACAATTTAGTCGTGTCTTGACCACTGCTCTTGCAGCGCCTCGCCCAGTTCAGCTAAAGTAGCGGTTGGCCTTTGACGTCTGCGTACACATCTTGTCCCCAATGTGATCTACATGGGAAAGATCAGGACTCAAGGCTGGCTATTGTATTCTGGTTACAATGCGTGCAGTGTGGGTGTAGTATCGTGCCTCAGGGGGTTCATATTCTGGTTGCTTATTCTATGTAAGGGAGACAACTCTCTCCCTGGAATGCAGTGTGAGCTACAAGATGCGTGTTGTCTGTGTCTAAAAAAGGATATTGAATTGGCAACGTGGAAAAATCTCAAAAACTTTTATGCATAACCATAACATCTCTTTGCCAGACTAACGACATTTGCTAATCTTGACCAAGATGAGTGCAAGTCAAGCACACCGGTTTCCCTTGTCAACAATGTGCTCAGAAAACAGCAAACGGAGGAGAGAAATAAGAGAGGCAGTGGTTGGCATGCGTGCACGGAGGAGAGAAATAAGAGAGGCAATGGTTGGCGTGCATGCGTGCATGAAAAGTTTGCTTTACTAATGCAAGGGCTTATTGCTTGATTACATTGGAATCATAGATCGAGGTGATATAAGGTGTAAACCTGTTGATGACATCAGCAGCAAATTACAACATATTTATACGACCTGGATGGGGCTCAAAGGTACAACAGGTACCATCTACCAGACGTAATGTCACAAGTGATCTAAGAACCGGAAGTGACGTCAGAAGTACGTCAAATACCACAAAGCTGCTGCAAAGCTGACATCATAGAAAGGGAAGTGACATCATAACATGCCAAAACTTGACAACCTAGAACAAAATATAAGGCAGTATACTTCCGTTTTCTATAGAGTAAATTATAGAGATCACTGGACTTTTGCATTTTTTATATAACGCCCAGAATAGAGAAATGGGTCATGGATATGTAAGATGTTGATTACAAGCTGGTATTTGAAGTAGATATAGTTGTAGCTGAAACTCTTTACTTCCTGGCAAGACGCCCACTCCCCATCAGAAGGGATGACAGCACTGAGAAAGTGTTGAATAGCATTGTGTAGACTGAACACTCCATCATTCTGGAGCGAGAGAGAAACAACTAAAGATAGCTGCAAAAAATCAAACACAGAATTCTCAAAGAAGACTGGGTATCTCATATGGTGTGAAGGGAGAACTTTGTCCCACTGGAGGAATGATCTGTCAACACAAAATTGTGATCCCAAGACCCCTACACAGACCAGTTTTCAAAGCAAGACACTACTTAGGACAATTTGGGAATAACGAAACTAAACAGACATTGAGAGAAAAGTATTGGTTTTCATACATGGACAGAATGACAGAATTGGTCCTGAAGTAGTGTGATGGGTGCAAGGTGACCACTACAGAACCATGAACCGGTGAAGTCTACTAGATCCCTGACAAATCCATGGAAACTGTCTCAGTTGACATCGGAGAACTGTACCCAGAAAATCCACAGTGAATCTTGACTCATCTGAAAACATTATGTAGCAGGGCGTGGAGTCGTCCCACAGATGACATCCTTACCTTGTCAGCTTGCTGACGGGGTTAACCTCTTTTGTCATGTGGACAAGGCGTCTGACCTCGGATCAGAAGGTCCACGGTTCGAATCCCATCACGGTACTCGGAAATTTTATTGCCACGACAATTACATGAGAATATTGGCAATTCTTCCAGTTTCTACACTCTAAACACCATTGGCATCAGGTTAAAATCTGTTGAGTTGTTAATGGTGGTACAAAATGTGGTTGCCAAGTATGCGGGTGATTTCGGATCATCTGGTCTGTAACTTAAACTCCAGTGAACAGCATTTTCATTTGCTGTTTGGGATCGACTTCTTGAAGTCTTGTTTCTGATTAAATGATCCTGGACTTGTTCTATTGACGGTAGACCTAGTTCATTAACATTAACAAAACCTGTTGCAAAGTTTACAAATCAGAAACTGAGACACATCGAACAAATTGGCTACCTCTCGCTGAGTTCTACCAGTTTAGAGCATACCAATAAGCCTTGGGTGTTCATCATGTTGTAGACGACGCATTCCCAATGTGATCACAAATACTTCAATAAGCAAGAGTAGAGAGCTTAGGTGTTACTGTGGATAATGAAAATCAACGGCAAATACTAAAGGCTTAGAGCGATTTAACCTTTCACTAAATTAAGGATGACACCCTACCCATGTGCTTGGAGGAATAGCATGGTCCACGTGCAATGACTCGGTTGTGTTGGGCATTAGGTTTTGATTCCAAAACTGAAATCTTTTACAGACATTTTTCAAAGCTGATCTTTCTTCTAACAAGTGATTGTAACATATATATTTCATGATCCACTACTTCTTTTGGAGAGTATATATGCATACTATGTCACATCATGATTACAAACATATGATAAATGAAGTTGTGTGCATTTTAAATTAAATAGAACTTTACAGTATCTTCATCACAACATGCTCATCATAAAATAGGTCTTATAAAACAAAAGGGGCCAACGTAATTCTTTCACTTTAATCATGCAAAGATGCACATTGTATCGATCCATCATTTATTGTCTTTCAGATTGTTGTGCAAGTTGGGGAAGAAGTCAATGGCATGATTCATGTGCAAGCTCCAAACAAGAAGCAGGCAATGTGTCCGATGAAGTATCTACAGGAACTCTGATGCTACACAGCCAGTATGGCACTCAGGACAATTACCGATCGTATTCCACAACTTGCCAACTTCACAAAGCAAACTTCCAGATCTGCAGGACTGTGTTGCACCAAAAGATATATGCAGGTCTTGTAGTGATGCTTCTATAGTAGGGAGCAACCATACAACGAGCTGGGTGTGCATCTTGTACAGCTAGACTGTCTGTCTCCTGATAGATATACTCCAACACTGAACACACCAGCATTCCACAGGGCAGGTGGTTTATGTAACTACATACCCGATAGTTCAAATAATCATTAATTTATCTACTTTAGAAGGAAGTAGCTGTATAAACTTTCCGATTTCAACCGTGTCACCTGTGTCTTTCTTTATGATAACGCCAGTGCTCATCACTTCGTTATGGTCAGTGCTTAGACACTGGCTTCATAGTGATCTCATGTGCCCACTCATCCCTGTGTCCACACTTCACACTGTGCCTAAGGGCATATGTACCTGACACCTGTACAAGGGATTCTCAATGTAATTGCACAACCAGTGTAATGTTCAGTTTTTACAGCCTCATATAGATAGAATCCAGTGTATGCTTGTTATGTGTTTTCATCACTGGAAATTTGTTATAAGATCAGCATACAACAGACCGGAGTAATGTGTACCCATGTGTTGGCAAGTATATACAGATTACAGAGATAAGTGTTGGGATCTGCATGGCCTGAGCCACACCAATGTGAATGTATGTGTCAGATCTATGAGATGACCCCCCCAGCATTGTGTACATGGGATTTGCATGTGTGTGTTGGAATATGCATAAGAGTGCTTCTCAATGATTCACAAAGTTCAGCAGGTCTGAACTGTTTGGAAAGTCATTATGTTGAGATGCATTCCTTACTGAGGAAGAGGATTTATGGATGTCAACTTCTTTATTATGAGGAACACAATGTTTCGGTGTATATACTTACGCCTTCATCCTGATGGTAAGTATATACTCCGAAACGTTGTGTTCCTCATCATAAAGAAGTTGACATCCATACAGGATACATCTCTTCTTATGTGTATCACTTCTAAATGCCTTTCAATGACATTCCTTACTGGTTCCACGCTTTTGTAGCTACATGTATTTCACCTGCAGTCTGTTTTTAAGTGTTATTTAATTGACACTAACTGGATATACCCATTTACTTAAGTGTTAGTTAGTTGACACCACTTATGTGGATATACCCACTTACTTAAGTGTTATTTACTTGACACTACTTATCTGGATATACCCACCTACTTAAGTGTTATTTACTTGACACTACTTATCTGGATATACCCACCTACTTAAGTGTTATTGAATTGACACTACTTATGTGGATATACCCACTTACTTCAGTGTTATTTAATTGACACTACTTAATTGGATATACCCACTTAAGTGTTATTTAATTGACACTACTTATCTGGATATACCCACCTACTTAAGTGTTATTTACTTGACACTACTTATCTGGATATACCCACCTACTTAAGTGTTATTGAATTGACACTACTTATGTGGATATACCCACTTACTTCAGTGTTATTTAATTGACACTACTTAATTGGATATACCCACTTAAGTGTTATTTAATTGACACCACTTATGTGGATATACCCACCTACTTAAGTGTTATTTACTTGACACTACTTATGTGGATATACCCCCCTACTTAAGTGTTATATAATTGACACAACTTATCTTGATATACCCACCTACTTAAGTGTTATTTAATTGACACTACTTATCTGGATATACCCACCTACTTAAGTGTTATTTACTTGACACCACTTATGTGGATATACCCACCTACTTAAGTGATATTTAATTGACACTACTTATCTTGATATGTACCCACTTACTTAAGTGTTATTTAATTGACACTTCTTATCTTGATATACCCACTTACTTAAGTATTAATTATTCACAGTACTTACTTGGATATAAGCAAAAATGCTTTCCAGCTACATTATCAATGTGTGATAGGGTCACAAAACTATATGCTATGTGTCTGTGCTAGAGATGGTCTCAAACAGCTATTGTCAAATTCATATTTCTATTTTCATGCTTTGACAGTGGTATATGACCAGCCAATGAACTAATGAAAGGACATCCATGGCCCACATCCACTTCTATCCCCTCCATTTATATATCCCACCATCATCTCCACCATCTTAACCATCACTGACAACAACACAGTAACAACAACCTAGGCCATGAGAACATCTGCTATTCTGGGATCGTAGAATGAAATGCATATTTCATAAAGCATATTTCCTGTGAATGAAATACTGTAAAGTGGTGTGAACTTGACTCGTATTCTTATTCTCATCTCATTTTAAGGGCATGTGTTGATCTTTTTCTTGCATAATTCTGTTTCAAACTACTACCATCATACTGACTACCACCCACAAATCCCACCTACCCACTACCTCAGTACACACTGGTTACCTGGTGGAGTATTGCTACTGTATTACCCAGCAGTGTAGTCCCAACACTGTACTGTCTACACCTTCTGGCAGAGTTCTCCAGTTTGTAACAGCAAATAACTCTTACATTGCTTTATGTTGATTTAAATTGTGATGTTTGAAACAGTGTGTGTGTGCTATAATCTCAACTCTCCACTTGCTATTAAGACAAACACTCAGTCATGTACAGTCTACATGTTAGGATTATGTATCCTAACCTTCAATTGTTACTTATTACATTGAACAGTTATTCAGATTGTATCTTGACTGAATTGAGATTATGTTATCTAATTGTAATACTGACTATTTTGAAAGTTGATTGCACCATTTATTTACAGGCCAGTTATATGCTACAGTATGTCTGTCAAAGTTAGGAAATATAGTTTGTGCTGGCATCCAAGTGCTTGCAGTTATAACAGTTCATATTACTTAATTAATTTTCTAAGATGCCAAATTTAAGACTTACCTTGTGTATTGGATATGGGTTTAAAATAAGTATAGGCGCCATAATTTAAAATCCTTGAACAGGGCTAACTGATGGGCTGTTCCACCTGACTGCCCGCACCCTAACATGAAGAGACAAAATATGTTTTTTTTAAAATGTAACACCACTAAGTGAATAGTACAGGGTTAACTTTGTCTCTTAATACCTATTACCCATTCAGTATGTCATTATCTAAAACCCCTTGCAGCAGGAAGTAGGATTTATATTTACATTTTTATATAAATTTGGTTGAGGTTAAACATGTGACTCGAAACATTCCAAAAGTGCATTCTGGGTGCCGACTAACACATGCAAACATAGCTGACATTTTGTGTTGCTGGTTATTGTGAGTTGGGTGTTTTCTGTTGTAAAAGTAGCAACATATGCTTCAATTACTAATGTCAGCACACTGCTGCAACTGCAAGCCATGAACTGGAGTGTTTACTGAGTGTTTTGCACTATATGATACTGTAATTGATGTGAATCGATGGCATGGGACGTGAAATGGCAAAGCAGGGACAAACTTGGCTGCAGTATGTTGCTAAATGTCCTACACTGACCAACAGGTGTACAACTTTTTAGGGATTGCTTATTCCTATGGCCAGAGACAAATATTATTCATGGGCCACCAACACCAACCTTGGACAATTTTGTGTCTGATGTGACATGGACACAGTGGTTTGTAAATGATGTCTGGAATAACGGCGAGAAATGAGACATGGCTGACATCATCTTGTCATATTTCTTGCCAGGGAATAATATTCAATTATTCAACAAGTTTAAAGAAACTATTACACCGATCAATAATTGATGTGGAAAGCACCATCTTGATTGACAGGTATGATGGAATGATGTTACCAAGATACAGTAAACTACAGTTGTAACGAACTCAAAAGGACCACTAATTTTAGTTCGTAATAACCGTAGTTCATTTTAAGCGTATGTACAGCATATATACGAGTAGACCAAATGGCCGGGACTAAAAAATAAGTTTGTTATATCTATCAGTTCATTATAAGAGTGTTCGTTATAAACATAGTTTACTGTACGTTAGATGATGGGGGAGGTAAATTGAACAGCCTCTTGATGTCAGCTCATTATGACCTTATTCATCAACCTTACCAAATATGATAGAAAGATGTTAAGATAAGACTAAAGTGTTCATGTGACAAAGAAGTTATGCAGATGCTAAAAACCACCCCTGTTGAAGTCACTGACAAGTTACTATTTGTAACTAGGCAGTATCACTTATGTTTGTTTTTTTGTGTTTTTTGTTGTTTTTTTGGTTTTTTTTGTTTTGTTTTTTGTTTTGTTTTTTATCAGGGTGGTCGGGTAGCCTAGTAGTTAAAGCGTTCACTCGTCATGCCGAAGACCCGGGTTCGATTCCCGACACAGGTACAATGTGTGAAGCCCATTTCTGGTGTCCCCCACCGTGATATTGCTGGAATATTGCTAAAAGCAGCGTAAAAACCATAATACTCACTATGTTTTTTTATCAGATTTTAAATTTGGCCACAAAAGGCAGCCATGTTAAAAGAGACTTTCTACAACTAATGCAGCCATTCCTTCATCCATCATTTTTTTCATATTGTGACTTTTTACAACCATTAAGTCCTTTAATCTCCCCGCACCAAAACATATTAGTCTTTTATGCATGTACAATAGGGAATCTGCAAGTGTTGTGCACTTTTGTTACACTTTTGTGGCATTTTTGGCATTTGACCCTATCTGTCTAAATGAATCGCATGGCACTTCATTTCTTTACATTCTGAAAATGTCATTTGTTTAAGTTTAGCTCATCAGAGAGTTTCTGCCACCATGACAATGGCCTGCTCGTTTATTGCAGATATTATCTGTCTACATCTCCTATTCAGAACCAAAGTATATCAAACATGGCATGATTTTTCAACCAATAACGTCAATAATATTGGAAATGTTATACAGAGGATATTTCATGTGTCCAGTGAAACCTGTTTCTCTCACTACGAGTGGTATAGCCACGAGTGAAAATATCTCCTTTTTCCCCTGTCACGAGATGAGAGAAACATGATATTTACACTCAAAATCTCCAATATCCTATTTATAATATACTTTTTTGCGTAGTTGTCTAGCAGTAAATTAAATTATTTCAATACAAACGTAAAACCATAAATTCGCCCTACATAACACACAGGGACGTTTTACCACCCCTTGTATTTGCGGCTTAAAAGGTAGTTCCATGTTTGCAAATCTCAAAAAGTATAAACAAAAGTAACACTAATACTTTATAAGTAAAGTAATACTTTATCATTCATTTACATATGATTATATACAAAATCAACCTCCACAATAACAATGTTTATCCTTACATAAATCACTCTTGTAGATTAAGAAACACTTAAAATATAATTACTAATCTAATTGGCTTGTCTTAGTTGACACTTAAAGCTGTTAACCATGTAATGAGGTGAGCAGTTATGTCAATTTGACTTGACAATTTGAAATGGGACATATTCTGGTAGTGTGTGGTATGTGATAAATCTTACATCATCTGGTATTGTCAATTGTTATACTGCCAGGGTGGGTGATGGTGTCATTCATTATACTGCCAGGGTGGGTGATGGTGTCATTCATTATACTGCCAGGGTGGGTGATGGTGTCATTCATTATACTGCCAGGGTGGGTGATGGTGTCATTCATTATACTGCCTGGGTGGGTGATGGTGTCATTCATTATACTGCCAGGGTGGGTGATGGTGTCATTCATTATACTGCCAGGGTGGGTGATGGTGTCATTCATTATACTGCCAGAGTGGGTGATGGTGTCATTCATTATACTGCCTGGGTGGGTGATGGTGTCATTCATTATACTGCCAGGGTGGGTGATGGTGTCATTCATTATACTGCCAGGGTGGGTGATGGTGTCATTCATTATACTGCCAGGGTGGGTGATGGTGTCATTCATTATACTGCCAGGGTGGGTGATGGTGTCATTCATTATACTGCCTGGGTGGGTGATGGTGTCATTCGTTATACTGCCAGGGTGGGTGATGGTGTCATTCATTATACTGCCTGGGTGGGTGATGGTGTCATTCATTATACTGCCAGGGTGGGTGATGGTGTCATTCATTATACTGCCTGGGTGGGTGATGGTGTTATTCATTATACTGCCTGGGTGGGTGATGGTGTCATTCATTATACTGCCAGGGTGGGTGATGGTGTCATTCATTATACTGCCAGGGTGGGTGATGGTGTCATTCATTATACTGCCAGGGTGGGTGATGGTGTCATTCATTATACTGCCAGGGTGGGTGATGGTGTCATTCATTATACTGCCTGGGTGGGTGATGGTGTCATTCATTATACTGCCAGGGTGGGTGATGGTGTCATTCATTATACTGCCAGAGTGGGTGATGGTGTCATTCATTATACTGCCAGGGTGGGTGATGGTGTCATTCATTATACTGCCAGGGTGGGTG